CCAACGAGCATTATTCCTTTATCTACATCTGTTCTTTGGAAACACAGGACAAAATTTCTCACCATCAAGACTTCAAAATCCACTCTTAGTTATTAACTTGCTTTGCTTTTCCCTCACCCCCTTTCTAGATGGCAGCCATTGTTCTCCATCTAGCAGTGTAGCATTGTAGAGTCAGAACAGCTTCTGTTTGGGAAGAAATCATTGCTAGTGACCTCACCTTCAATTACTGACTTTCTAGTAAGACTGCATGATTTCACAGAAAATTAGCACTTGTACCTGCAAAGTTGTAGCTTTCCCACCCCAATTCATCACCTCTCAAGACTCCTTAAAGAGGGAAATTATCAATTTATCATTCTGTATTGGAAATGGAATGCCTGTAATATTTATTACCTATAAGAGAATTAAAAGATGATGTGTTAGCTTTCTGCAAATGTTGATCATTACTTTAAATGGAATTGAAATTCAAATTTATTATCTCCCAAAATATGATCTTAGTCATAACAAGATAACATTTCGGAGATTCCTTCCCCTTGAGGACCTAAACACATAGCACCCCTGGATTCCCGCAGATCATGGCAGGGTGTTCCCACTCATAAAAGCATAGTTACCCTCAGGGTCATGCAGGGATGAAGAAGCTACTCTCTCATTGGCTGTGACCTGCATTCCCATATTGCAAGGGCTGGAGGAGACTAGCGTCCAATTCTGCAGTCCCAGACAGCTGCTAGAGGAGAGTCATGAATGTGCAGTGTCTAGCACGTTACAAATGTTTGTTAATTGACTGATCATTCATGGTGTGACAGCCCTATAACTCAGCTATCCTATTCAGTCAGAAATTAACCGAGTAATCAAAGCTATTAAAAGGGGAGAAAAAAACTACAGCTCGAGCCAGATGGTGGGGAAATCAGACAGATGAAAGGAAAATGGCTGTAGGTCATCGAGTAAGACACTGGGCAGTAAAACCTGGGCCTTGTGCCTAGTTATATTCCAAATTCTAGCTTGAGCAAGTTTTGGCAGGCTTTCCAAAGTCTTAGTTTATTCTAACCTTTCTTGTGAGCAAGAGCAGTGTTGATCAGATGGACAGAAATGTGGGGAATCTGTCCAAATGCCCCCATCTGAGTTTGGGCTCTTGGTGTACACGGATAACTGGGAGAAAGAGGCGGGAGACATGTGGGCCTGATCCTAACGTTTGTGAGGCCTTTCTTCCCAATTTCTTCCTCTGCCTGGCTCCATCCCACATAGTAAAGGGCCTCAAGCATATGTGTATGGACATTTCATTGTATATCTGAGCTCTGACCATACCCCTTGAAATGGCTATATTTTGGGCCACTCTCAGTTCTCAGAGATGTGCAACACCAGCCACAAAGTCTGCCCTTGGGAGGACTGACCCAGGGAAGACACTCACGGAGACTCTGGAAGTGCAGGGCTATTCACGAAGGGAACTTCAGGGTCCTAGGGGTATCTAGAATGCCACGTTCTCAGTGGGTAAATTCCACTGACTTTAAGGGTTCCTCATCCTGTGGGGAGGGACCTCTCCAGAAGAGAGACAAAGCAGGACCTCTAAACGTGGGACCCAAACCAGGAGCCCCTCTTGCTAGAGCCGAAGGGGCATACTGGAATGCGCAGGCCAAGCTCTATTCTCACCATCACTCGCATCCCTTACACACCTCTCTCTGTGTCCATAGCAGCCGGACCACAAAGAGAAACTCTTCATGTGTATCTTTTAAGTCATAAATAGTTATCCTTGATCCCATGTCTTTTTTTTTTTTTTTTTTTTTTAAGAACCATGGACAGAGAGGAGCAAAAATATCCCAAATTCACACTGAGCTCTTTCCCTTCACATCTCCTAACAGTCACTGGCAGGTTGTCAGAGACTCAGGCTGGATTTCTGTCCTCTGGCTCTGAAATGACAAGTTAACCACATGATCAACCCTAGAATCCAGAGTGAAATCACTCAGACCATCCTCTCTACTGCTAGATGGCACACTATGTCTCGGGAGCTTGTGCACTTGAAATACCAGCTGTGGTAACAGGCTTTGAGTCTTGAGACACCCAAAGTAACTTTTACTCCAGGAATTTAAAATACAGCCTCACTACAATGCTGTCTCCTTAACAAAGTAGTACCTTTAAAATATTTAACAACTTGAAATGGAAACCGAGCTTGAATTTTCCTTTCAGGTGCTAAGGAAATAGTGTTTCACTTCTGTCTGAAATTCACCATCTCCTCAGACAAAGAAGGCTCTTATGGTGAAAGCAGTGGCATTTTTTCCACAGTTTTCAAATAAAAGATAAAGGGGAAACAGCATTGCAGCCTTTTTGTTAGGATCTAACAATAAAGGAATAATACGGTTTTGCCAGGGGGGAGCTCTGGTTTTAAGTTCAGAATATAAAAATAGGCTGACAAATTTTACAAAGGAATATTCTCAGCTACCACTCTGAGGCTGGTAGGAAGTGAAGTTTCAAGAAAATTATATTATTTGATTATTTGGAGGTATTTATGATGACAAACATGCTGATGGGGCCAGTCCTATATAAAATTCTGAAGCAGAAGAAATACGATTTCACCTTTTCTGATCAGCCCTGTCCCCCAGCCCCCACCCAAACCTGGCCTTTGGATGGGAAGGGGACCATCATTTGTACCACAGCTCCCCGTGCCTGGAATGCTCCCCCCAAACAGTCCAGCCTCCCTTTGCTCAGCTAAATTTTCCTACAGCTCCTTTGGGCTAGTTCTAAGGAACCTTCGTGATGCTGCCCACCCTCTCAGTGCCAGCACCCTGTACTCCCCTGCATTACACTCACTGGAATTGGCTGCAATTATTTTTATGTCCCTTGTCCGATTATACTCTGTGAGAGCAGAAACCACATATATTTTCTTTAATGTTCAAATCTCCACCACTATCACCATGCTTGGCTTGGAATAAGTCTGAATGAATTAATGAATTAATGAATGGAAATCTAAGCCATTATATTGCCACTTCCAGGATATTTGTATTAACTTTAATTGAAGAGCATAAAAAGTACTTACTTCAGAGGAGTCATAAACTTAATAGGAGAGAATTTGGAGAAACAAGGCCCTGTAATACATTCTTTTGGGTCGCCTACTCGGAGGAGTCAGGTTTTCCTGATATGGGGCGGGGTGGGGACTTGGAGTAAAATTGCCTAATTTCACATAGCGAGTGGAGGAATCAGGGCGTGAACCCAAATTGATTTGGACTAAATCAATGGATTATGGTAAGGACTTGCAAGAAAAAGGAATACGTAAAAACCATAGGAATAGCTACCAATTAGTAAGCATTTATATGTGTCAATTACAATGTCGAATGTTAATCATGCATTACCTATATTAACTACCTTTTATAGATGAGGATATTGAGACTTGGAAATTAAAATTGCCTAATTTCACATAGTAAGTAAAGGAATTAGGGTTTGAACCCAAATTGGTTTGACTTAAGTCAGAAAACCATCTCATGGCTGGGCGCGGTGGCTCACGCCTGTAATCCTAGAAGGAGGGCGAGATGGGAGGATTGCTTGAGCTCAGGAGTTGGAGACCAGCCTGAACAAGAGCGACACCCTGTCCCTACTATAAATAGAAAGAAATTAGCCAAACAACTAAAAATAGAAAAAATTAACCGGGCACAGTGGTGTGTGCCTGTAGTCCCAGCTACCTGGGAGGCTGAGGCAGGAGGATTGCTTGAGCCCAGGAGTCTGAGGTTGCTGTGAGCTAGGCTGATGCCACGGCACTCTAGCCTAGGCAAGAATGTGTGACTCTGTCTCAAAAAAAAAAAAGAAAAAAGAAAACCATCTCAGCAAGTCTCCTATTAACTGGAAGCCCATTGTGATGCCAGGGATAGAGTAGCAGCTGTGGAAACCCTGTAGAGCCTTGGCCATCCACTGTGCTCCTGATCTGGTACCTCTAGCCACTTGCTTCTGCCCCCTGTGCCATCCACCCACCTGGGGATTTCGCATTCTCCATCCTCAGGGGAGACACTCATCAGAGTTTCCAGGTCCTACCCAGAATGGAGTATCCCTGTCCTGCAGAGATCTCACCCAGACCATAGCTGCATCCATTAGGATTAGATTAGGCTCCCAAAGTTTTATTAGAGATCATAATATAATAAGTGTTTTTTTTTCACATATAAAAATTCCAGGACTGATCTGGTAGCTTTAGGTATATGGGATCCAGACTCCTTCTTTCTTGTTTTTACTTAGTACTTGGCTTCCATTTCTGAGGCCACCTGGTCCAAAATGTCTGCTGGAGCTCCAGGCATTGCATCCATATTTCAACTACAGGAAGGAGGAAGTAGAAAGGAAAGGGCAGCCCTTAATATCTATATACTCAAGGAAACTTTCCTGCCCCTGCATCCCAGCCACCCTCAGCTGAACAATGTTGTCTATATTCAAGGCAGCCATATGCCCAGCTACAAACTCAAATTCTGTTACAAACAAGAACAGATCCTTATCCATGACTACCTTTGCTCAGGTAGTCCTGTGTGCAGCTATGCTCAGTGGGGAGCTGGAGGAGTCATGGTAACTGTTCTGAAGGGAGGCCTTGGTCCTTTCACAAGGGGCTACATGACTGGTATTTATCCTGCATGGTCTGCAAAATATAGAGAAATTTGTTCTCTTGAAGCTACACCATAGCAGTGGCTGCTTTGTAGCCTAATTCCACCATTGTGCTTTTAAGGTGCCCAGCAATTCAGCCTCTTTCATGCAAAGAGGAATATCTCCCAGTCTTTGTAAGATTAGTTGGATTCTAACCACCCCCTATCCTAGCCACACATGCACACAGAAATCTTCCTTACTCAAAGCCATAACCCAAGCACTACCACCCATAGGTTGGAGAATCAGGCTCATGATTACAAATTTGCAATAATATATTTTTGCAGGAGAATGCAAAGAAGGATGATGGTAAAAGGTTTTCTTTGGTTTGCACATTGACCCTCTTCCCTGTCCCCTATCAGGAAATATCTGTCCCAACACATTGTTTGTTTCTTCTATTGCAGGCTCTTGTGGCTGTCTTGTCATGATATTGTTTGCTTCTGAAGCGAAGATCCACCACCTTTCAGAAAAAATTGCAAATTATAAAGAAGGGACTTATGCCTACAAAACGCAAAGTGAAAAATACACCACCTCATTCTGGGTCATTTTCATTTGCTTTTTTGTTCATTTTCTGAATGGGCTCCTAATACGACTTGCTGGATTTCAGTTTCCATTTGCAAAGTCTAAAGAAACAGAGACAACAAACGTAGCTGCAGATCTAATGTACTGAAAGGCAAACGTTTCAATAATTTTCCAAGTAAAGGAGTAGACTTGCTTTGGTCACTTTTGGATATGGTTAATTTTGTCCATCCTTTTAGACTGCATAAACTAAAGCACCAGAACCCTTGTGACAATGTTTACAAACTATGTAATAAGGATACAGGCTGGAAAGTAAGGGAAACAGGAGGAAGGCCTTGGAAAGGTGTTTCACCGGTGGGAAACCACTTGAGCCAGGTAGTCAAAGGCAGTTGGCTAGAATGAACAAATTGTTACTCCATACACATACTAAATGCAAAATGTCTGTTCCGTCAGGGAGGAATCCAAAGGCACATGGAATATATTTTAATAAAAACAAATACCATTTCTGATATATCCACACATTTGTTGCCACAGATATCAGAAAACCAAGCTGGAATTGTTTTCCTAAGATGATAACGCATTAAATGAACATCTATAAAATGTATCAATGCTCTTTTTGAAAAGTGTGTTTAAAACACAGTCTTATTAACTATGCCTGTTAGTCAAAATCTGCAGACCTCTAAAAGAAAAAAATAAGAAAGAACAAAGCTAAAGGTATTTTCTCTCCTATGCCTAAGTCCCAATTATATTCACAATGGTACTTTCAATAGACATAATTGCTGGGACTACTGAGGAACCATGAAAAATGATTCCCACTTGATCCAAAATGACTCGTTGGGGACTGTTGTTTTAAGCTGTTGTGTCTCAGGCACTAATTTCCAATTATGAAAATTATATTAAACCTGGGATTATGATGGTATCACTGCGTCATCTTGGTCTTTGGTCTAGCTGTCACAAAGCCTGAATTACCCATGAAATTGATCTGCCGCTGACCAAAGGCCACAGCTAAGCCTGGAACTGACCCTCTCCCTGTATCCTCAATCTGCTGTCCTCCAGAAAGCGCCCAGAAAAAAGCAGAGAATGACAGCTACCGCACAACCAGGCTCATGGCTACAGGTGCTGGGTATTTGGCCCTCAAATAAGGGGTTGGAAAATGCTTCTTACAAAATACCTTTTCCCTTTTGTAACAATTTACAAGGAAGAAACAACTGTTTGTAAACCTGAGAAATAACTTGCTCTGGTGGGGATCTGCTGTTCATAGGCAGGCATCAGAACACTTCCTGAGTTTCCAGATGCTAGTCCTCCGCCTTAATTCAGGAAATACACCTGGAGAATTTTTAGGAGGCCAAAGTCAGTCTAGCCACGAAGGGGATGTTTATTTCGGTGATGGGCTAGAGTGCAGTTCTGAAAGTCTTCAGAAACGGTCCAGTACAGAAACCCTGGTAACAAGGCGTGGGCAGGGCAGCACAAGGGCCCTCGCCCGCTGTGGGTAGTTGGTCTGAGGTGCCCAAGGCCGGTCCCCTCTGCACTCTCATGTGACCTCCCACTCTCTTCTCAGAGGCGTGAAAAACTACTTCTAACACCACGCTTTCTTGTTCAAAAAACAAGTCTCTGGCTGTTCCCAGTTCTGTAAAAAGAGAGAGAAAACCTGGAGCAGCCGCTGAAAAGCTAATGAGGACCTAAGAGGCAAACCAACCATGTGCCCTGGATGGGAAGGAGAAGCAGGGCTGTGACAGACACCCAAACAGTCCCCACAAACTGTGTCACACACGAAAATAAAACAGGATACAACCTGCGCACCCAAAGCAGTGTACTAGAGTCATGCCGCTCTCTTCTCACATGAAATGTGTGGTCCCAGGGTCCTGTGGGGAGCCCTCGGAAGAGGGATCTGGCCAGGATGCCTTTTTGTGGCTCCATCTCTGGGAATCAAAGGCCGTGGCAATGACATTCATTTTGCTGTGACCGGCCCTCCCTCCCCAGGTGGCAGCCGGCATTCTCACAAGGATGCAGGGCCCCCTGCTGGCTCTGCGGCAGCAAACACCGTGCCACAGTGGGGCACCCGTTTCACTGTCGCCTGACACCCTCAGCTCTGAGAACGTCAGTGCTTGTGATGCTGCCGGAAAGCAGCAACAGGAAGAGTCTGTGAAGGCCATCCTCAGTCCTTCTGGGGGGCCCAGCCAAGGCAAGATACGTCCACTGCAATAGGAAGAAGCTTCAGAACTAAGTGAAAACAAGTGCAGACTGTTTGAATGAAGAGGAGCACTCCTCACAGTTTACAGAGGTCTTTTGTTCTCGTGGCCCCAACCGTTCCTCCACAGAAGCCACTCCCACGTCACTTTACAGGTGTTCAGGGCCCATAATTCGGCTGGTGGCTCACACATTTGCACAATCAGGGCAAGGGACAGTGCTATGCCTCTCCTCTCTGTCTGCCCATCTGCAGGGAGAGAGGTTAGGAGAGGGGACCACTGCCCCTCCCAACTCTGGTGGAGGGAGAGAGAGGGGAGCACCTTGGAAATTGCTGGGGTGCACCAGCTCCAAGATAAGCATGCCCTGCCATTAAAATGGACATTTGTCCCAACCGTTTACCCAGAGAAACCTGAATGAGAACCCAGGGAGACTTCAGAGGGTCGAAAGTAGGGAGTAGGGGGTTTAACCTCCCTCTTTTCTTCAACCTCTCCCCTTCCAATAAGATTCAGTCTAGTTATTATAAAGACAGACCACCTGGAATAGAAATTCTGCTTCAAGACCAGTCTCAAGCCACCAGTCCCATTTTTCTAACTCCCTTGCTGCCCCTAGTCCCCTCTATTTAGACGTCCTGGGGCCTGTGCTATTTCGGTGCTTGGTGCTGCTCTAGTGACGTACCCATTCTCAATCCCCTTCACCATGCCAGTTGGTCATGGCTCGAGGCTGATGGCTGGTGGGCCACCTCCCCCAGTGACAAGGGACAGGGCAATGCTGCTCAGTATAGAGAAAAGGGTACCTGCTCTTTGAAACTAAAGGGCAGAAAGACAGAACAGGGCTGAGGTCCTAGCTTCTGAGCCAAAATTCCCCCTTGAAAAAGCACTCTTGCTCCTATAAATGCTGATGTAAACTGAATTAAATTATATTTTGATTTACAGACTTTGTGATTGCCCCTCCCCTTGGGTAACCAGGTTGTCACAGCCCAGAGCTGAGATTCACTGGCCTATTTTCAAAGAAGAACCAAGTCAGAAATCTCTAGAGAGTCTCCCCTGTCCATCCTAAAGGACAGGATCAGACTAGTTGCAGAGACCCTAGGATGGGGTTCGAGGAGTGGGTTAGGTACAGTGCTGTGAAAGCTACCCAGGAGTTAAAAGGCAAGTGTCTTAAGGAATAGTGTTTCTTTGCTAGAATCTTGGTCTGAGGGAGTTCAACCCACTCTGAAAGTAGTAGACAGAATAATTTGCAAGCAGGTGTGTCCCTCACTCAGCAAATGTCCTCACTGACTCTTCCTTCTGTGGGCCATGAATCCGACTCTGGAGGAGAGTGAGAGACTCAGGAGCTCCTACCAGCCTTGTTCCCTCTTCCCCTAGTCTGGTGTGTAAGAGAGTGTGCAGGGCAGGAGGCCTGGACCTCTCAAGTGATTCGAGCTTGTGCCCCACCAGAAACATGCAATTCAGTGCACACAAGCTGTCACCCTGTCATTGCAGTCTCCTCAGGTTCCAATTTACCATGGACTTTACCTAAGCAAAAAAGTGTATCAAAGCTAATCCAGAGGTATGCATTCCAGGATGCCACAGTTGACTGATTTGTACTTAAATTTGCTATCTTTCCATTTAGCCAAGTATAATGAATAGTGTGCCTTAACATGGGGAATTTCAGTATCTGCATCCCAGGCCAGAGGCCCCAGGAGAAGCAGGTATATAGATTTCATTTGCTGCCACACAGCTGCTCCCTCTGCCCTGCCCCTTTGCTGTCACGCCTTCCCCCACAGACCGTCTGGCAAACAGGCTATGTGCTCTCCACCAAGTGTCCTCTTCTTTGGCACACAGCTAAACTACATCTCCCAGCCTCCTTTGGAGTGGGGCTGTGTGAGGGAGGCTATGCCAACGAGATGAAAGTGACCTGTGCCATTTTCAGGCCTGGCCCTGAAAAATAGCCCAAGCAATCCTCCAGCTCTCTTCCCCTGGTGCTGCAGTCTTGGGAGCAGTGAGATCCCGCTGAAAGGCTACAAAGCAGAGGCAGGCTTCCTGACCTGCACTGGAGCAGGTATGGCAATGAGGCAGCACTGGGCACTGACTTGGTTTCCCCAGTGTTCCCTAGTACTGGAAAAAGATGGTACCTGCTCCAGCAGAAATTCTATACTCTTGGAGTACCTCCTCTTTATCTCCTGCCTATTTCCAGCCCTTGGAATTTTCTAGCTAGTTTAGAGACAAAAACAAACCCATCCTATAAGAACATAACTGACTGGTTTCCACCTAAACCAGTAACTATTGAACTTAAAAATCATTTTTTTCCTCTGGATCCAGAGTCACCCCATTCTCCCGAAAGTTTATGTGGAGCTGCCTGGACAGGGCAGAGTACAGGTGAAGTGAAGCGAGCACAGGGGACCAGAAAAGCACGTCGAAAAGAACCAGTGAAATACTATTCCACCACACACATTGACACTGAACGGGAAACTCACTCTTTCATGGTTTTTTATTCTTTAACAAACTTCATAGATGCCCCCCCCAAAAATTCTTGTTATTTCCTTTTAAAAATATATAAATATACAAAAATAGAAAATATATGCGTGCCATATCAATTGCTTCTCTCTCCTATACCACAAAGGAAAGCAAGCCTTCCTATTTTACTTAATTTTTTGTCAGGGAGCATTTAATGTGAGACACAAAAGCCCTCTTAAACCATCTTAAACGAAGAGCTGGGGAGCGAGAATCAGAGATCCAACTGAAAGATACAGTGACGTGTCCCACAGCACTAGGGTGCCAGGGCATTCGGGCCCCACCAAGGGGCAGATCCAGGAGTTGGAAAGTCAGTAGAAACAAGTTTCCCTTCCCGTCCTCCTCCCGCCCTGCCCCACCATGTGGCGTGACATGCGCGCATGTGTCTATGGCCACATGCTTCTGGCCCCCGTTTTTTCCTTGTGCTTCTGAATAATTCACTTTTCTCTGTACATAACAGCTTTCTTTTTCCAAAGCTTGAGGGGAAGAAAGCACTTCATCTTGGGACCTACACCATCCCCTAGA